ATTTTATGAATGTTAATAGAATACATTAAAAGTGAAGATCTTTCACCGGAAGCATCTTTTTCAGAAAATCGCTTTCATTCTTAAAATTTATTCAAAGCTTTTGACGATTGTCAAGCATTTTGCTACACAACTTGTTAACATAAGTTGTCGGAGACATCCAATCTCTATAATTTGTCTCGTAACTGTCCAGTCAGTATTGTCCGAGATATCCATTTGCCGACAACCTGGTTGATAAATTCGAGCCACCCGTTCTCCCCTTCTTGCCTCAGGATATGAATAAGTCGTTTTTTTGTCATTACATTTCCATTTACTGTAATCACGATTTATGCAGACATATGCGCCTCTTTCCAAACAAGCCTACGCTGAACCCCCTATGGTTCAATATCGTTCAACCGCAATTAATGCACAAAAAAAAAAAAAAAAAAAAATCGGCACAAAAATGATTATTATGCAAGTGGCGATGCTTCGCAAACATCACATATGGAAAAAATTCTCACAATTAGCATTCTTTGCTGTAAGAAGAGAAAAGAAGTAAAAATCGAATACAAAAGCAATAAAAAAAGCATTAAACGTAAACAGAAAAGTCAGGCGTACATAAGAATAATTTAAAATTCATAAAGTAAAATCCGAGCGTTTTTCATTCGGCTGGTAAAGAAAATCAATCGAGAAGAGCAAAAGCAACAAATCACTGATGGATGAAATCTGTAGCATATATCACATATCAACAATTCTTTTTTTTTTTTTGTTAAGACCAATAAATGATATTTGCTATCATTTATTAGGTTGGCATTTGCGATTTGCACGAAATGTATGCCTCTCAAGCTATAATGAGTTCGGCTATTTTGGCATTTTTTTTTTATGCTCAGACTATAAATGGCTTTCGCTGCTTAAGGAGACCTTAATTATAGAGTGAAAGTAGTGAACAAAATATTTAAAAAAAAAATTGTTACCTACCGACGCGTATGGAATTCTCGAAAAATACCGATGAACATTTGCCGGTTTTGAATTTGAGATCGGTGGTGTCCCTGCCTGCACCCACTTAGCCACATCTGCCTGCCTGTCATATAAGAAGCTTTTCCAACCAACAAGAAGCTTCTCCAAGCGATTACCCACCCTCTCTTACCCGTTTCTTTAAACCACTTTTTTGATTAACTTCTTTAAGCAGCTTTTTTAACACATAGAAGTAGAACTATTTCACCTTCTAGGAAAAAACTTGTAACTTCCAGCATGAGTCGAGCCATGGGGGAGTGTCCACTTGCTTATCGCCTAGTAAGAGAATTTATAAAAAAATTAAAATAAAGACCATGAGAAAAATAGATGGAACCTGTGGTCTTAAAAACATTAAGATTAATACTAAACACTAAGTATGGCTGCCTTTAGCCATACATACGTCACTTATATAGTATCCAAAATCTTTTTGCATTCTACTTACAACAGATCAAGTTTAAAAATAGACGTAATCTATGTATACTGTACCGCCATGCAATCAAAACTCGTCCCGATATTTGCTACAACTATTTATATAAAATCTTTCCAGAATTTGTCCTTAAAGGCATTTCACGACTCGCCTACAGTTGCAAAATTAATGACTGTTTAATGTTCGCTTTCGCGCTCGCAATTTTCCTCCTTGCTACTGATAATAAAGATCATCGATTAACGGATTAAGGCTAAAGAATATATTAATACGTGAAGAAGAAATTAATTCCCGCTGCTCTTAGGCTAAGGAGAAGTGACAACATTTTCGATTTATTCAGTTTATTTCATGGGAAATTGCTACGATTCGCTTTAAAAAGGAAAATATCCAAAAAAAAAAAGTAAAATTTCGCAAATAAAAATGCTATGGAATCATTAATAACATATAGCAAAAAATAAGTCCCTTTAAAAGAAGAATTATAAAATTTTTTCCGACGACATAGAAAATTAGCAACACATTTATATATATATATATATATATATAGCACATTCGATTTTATAATATTAAGAGGCACAAAAACTTCTTTTCATGTTAATTTAAAAAAAAAAAAAAATTTTTATGCAACACATATAAAATGTATGTAGGTATGTACACATAGCGCTATTTGCACTATTTGTACATCGCTGTCATCGCATAAATCTCACATGCATATCAATAAATATGAAAAATATTTACTTTTCGTCGTAGCACATATACACGTTCAGAATTATTTACCAAACTTAACATGATAACACCAACAAAAATAGGTATCATTGAATGAAAAAACAATTCCAAATTTATTTATATAAAATGTAAGAAAATATATTCGATTGTGGCCGAATCTATTTGGGATCTCACCTTAAAAAAAAAAAACACACACGCACACACACACACACAAAAGAACCTAGATGGACAGACACATGGATTTCTTTAAATCAGTTAAGAACTTGATATTAATCAGAAATACATATACTTTGTAGAGTTCCTCGAATTTACCTCAGGATGTTGCAAAAGTTTTGAGAAAAAAGAAAAGCGAAAATTCCTCACTCTATACTATTGGATAGCTATGATTATAGTTATACGGATACTGTACGGTCATTGTCGAATAGACAATAGAGAGTTTTCTCGTTGTATTTGTCGACCATCGATTAGGAGAAACGTCATTTTTTTTTTTTTTTTTTTGCTTTTGGAACAGAGGTGTTCACAATTTATCGTGTACCGTAGGCATGTGCTTTTAACAATTTGATCCATTTTCAATGCTAGCCTGGCATCCAAATACTCTTGACTGACATCAAGCCGAGTTTTGTGTCTGATGGTTCATCTATCACAGGCGTTTACACACGTGGACAGACAGACTTACCTTGATCGTTAGGGAATTTAATATTAATCTGTCAAAATTTCGTGTACGAGTTGCGAAAGTTTTGAAATAATGAATATGTCCTTAGGCTTTAGGTGATAGGTACGAAAAGGAAGATTTCAAAGGAAAATATGGTAAATATAACACGTAAATATGAAATAGACGTTTTGGGCATTTCTTCCGATATTTGCACAGATATGTCTAATATCCATAATTTGTATCTGTAGAATTTCTACGCGTCAAGACCGATGGGTCTTCCTGTGTTAGACGGATCATTGTTACTCCAAACTTCACCCAATTTCCATGTATTGATATAATCCAATATAAACAAGGGCGTTAAACGGCTACTAACGCCTTCTTCTTTTAGGGACTGATACAAAGTCTTTCAACAAAACGTGCTCTATTTTTGATATGTTAATATGTAACAGCGGTCATTATATGCGATGGCATTTGACAAGTGAAAACTAAGAGATATTCATTCGTCGTGCAGAAAAGTTAACTAACTGCTGGAAGTGCAACTGGAAGAGAGCACGAATAACTTCTTCAAATTAAAAAAAGAGACAATTTTAGCAAGATGTCGCCACGTGTCGTGCAACTCGTAAAACTGTCCTTTCGCAATGCGTGACTGATTTAACATGAAGCTTTTTTCTGAGAGACGTCATATCTAAACATAAAGTAGTAATCCGCCTGAGTAGCCGAAGGGGAGGAATCTCGACTAGCAAGTCAATGGTCGTGGGTTCGAATCTCAAGTGCGGTAGAGTTTTTAATAAAAAGCCGATAGCCTTAGATGCTAGTGCTTTTAAGAGTTTAGTCTTAGAATTTATTTCTCTGGCGAAATTAACAATAATAATAATAATAATAATAATAATAATAATAAACATAAAGTATGTAATAATCGTTTACAACATATTTCGATTCTTTCGCCAACTTCACGATATCGATTTTCTGATAAGAAAAACTGAAATTGCGTTAACCTCTTATAAGGCATATCGAATTCAATGTGAACCCAATGTTCGCGTTCACATATTCACATTCGTTTAATTACAAATTCAATACCACACAAGGATGAATGGCGAAATATGTAAATACATGAAAATAAGATTCCATGCGCCATCATTTATATGCACACATAAAAAGCTAAAGGACACTGTTTTATATTAACGTAACATACAAAAATAATAAACAAAATTTATTGGTTTTTCTATCTTAAGGGAATTGAGGTATAATAGTTTTACCATTTTCTTTGTAACATTTAAAAAATGTGTCATTAAGCGCATATACGAAGGTGTATTTGTTCGCGAAAGATTTTTTAAAGTCGCAACCAAACTTGCTCTGTCTATCAGGCATGCGAGAGCTAATAAATAAGATAAAAAACTGACTGAAATGTGGTTTTTGAACCCAAAGTTAATAGGCGCCTAGCAAAAGTTTCTTCATTTCTCGTTCTTTGTAGCCGTCACCGTCTTATACGAATAGAGGATGAGTGATTCATTGCAAAAAAAAAAAAAAGGAAAAAAGCCTCCACTGATATCGTCCCAAATAGCACGTTGTCCGCATGAGTAGCCGTGTAGGCAAAAGATCACTACTCAATGTGTGCAGATTCAAATCTCAATTGCGGTAGAGTTTTCAATACAGACCAGCAGATGATCGATATTATATAGGGCCATCTTTAAACCCATACTTTGTAAATTTATCTACAAAATATATAGAAAACAAATAAGTAAATAGTGAAAGCTCGATATAAGAGCGGTCTTCGTTAGTCTGTTGAGCATGAAGAGAATTTATGCAATTGCTTAGGGTAATGGGTATCTAAAATTCGCTCTAAAGGGTAGATAAATTTCGTGTTTGTATTTTATTTGCTGCCAACCCCCAAATAAATGCCACCGATGTTTGTTTCGCACATACCACAAAGAGGAATTCTCGCATTTTAAAAAACGAATTATTCTTTTTAGTGCCGAAATATTCTAGAGTGAAATTTTCGCTATAAAACCAGTCACCTGGAAATTATTAAAACATTTTTGCTTTTATTATGAATAATAATTTATAGATAAATTTGTGCACATAAATATTTTTCCAATATTAAGCATAACATTAGAGTGCTTACTTAGCACACCATAAATATATATTTATATGCATATATATATTATATATATGTATTTATAATAATAACTTTTTTTTTCTTTTTGTTTTCAGTTTTGGGAAATAATATCCGATGAGCATGGTATCGATCCGAATGGCATGTATCATGGCGAAAATGATATGCAATTGGAGAGGATCGATGTCTATTACACGGAAGCTAATCATGGCAAATATGTTCCGCGTGCTGTCCTTATTGACTTGGAACCGGGTACTATGGACTCAGTACGCCAATCACCAATGGGTTATTTATTTAGGCCAGATAATTTTGTGTTCGGCCAATCGGGAGCAGGTGAGTTATTACTTGTTGTGTGAAGTAAACTATATATTTTATACCCATCGCCGAAGGACGGAGGCATATATTCATTTTGTTAAAACGTTTGCAATGCCCAGAAAGAAGCGGCAGAGACCCCACAAATTATATTTGGCCATTTTCAAATCCGGAATGCATCTAAGCATGTTAATCTGTTCGTCTGTCCATCTGTCCATTTGTCCATTTGTCCATCTGTCCGCCTGTTCAACTGTGCAATATATAAAAGATAAAACTCACTCGTTCAAAACAATGAAGATATTGCTTGAAAAATTTAGAAAATAATATGAACGAGACTGAAACCGGTCAAGGTTTACACGTCTGTGCGACAAAAACTGTAAACGCTTTTGCGTTCTGAACTATGACACGTACACCATGAAAATTTTCACTTTCATTCTGGACATAGAAAAAATCACCCCCGCCCATCCAATATTATAGCGTATGAAAAGGTAGTTCTTTTCCTTTTCTTGTCAGTCATTTTTAGGATAACGACCGATTATAATTTTCTTATTTGCTTTTTCTAATTGAAATTAAGGTAATAACTGGGCCAAAGGTCATTACACGGAAGGTGCTGAATTAGTTGATCAAATTTTGGATGTTATACGCAAAGAATCGGAAGGTTGCGACTGCCTACAAGGCTTCCAATTGGCTCATTCTTTAGGCGGTGGCACGGGTTCCGGTCTCGGTACATTATTAATATCAAAAATTCGTGAGGAATATCCAGATAGAATAATGAACACATTCTCCGTAGTACCATCACCTAAGGTAACAAAGTAAATCATTTCATCTTTATTTAATTGAAAACATAAAATTTTAGGGAAAATCCAAGTAAGATTTCGACAAACAAATTTTTTATATATTGTTGGCTGACAATTATCTTAATCGAAAAGCATTTGTTTCGAAATCTATATCGATATTGTTTATCGAAAACCTCTGGCAATATCTTTGCGACCTTTGTCAGTAATCCCTCAAGCTATATATTGCATAATATATGCATCATATAAAAACTTTTAACATAATTGATATTTGTTTGGACGTTTTTATTGCGTTTTATGTAAAACAAAAAGTTCTCATGCCGGGAACATCGTTTTCCACATGATGTTATTTATTATTAATACCATTATCAACATTTGCGTTGATATTAAACAAAAAAGAAAAATTTTTATTTGAAAAACCTTAACCATATCCCAGTAGTTTGGTGATTATGCTATGCTACATAGACAGCAGCGTTGAACATGTTAAGTTTGTGTCAATCTTTATCATTTTAATGGTAAAATGAAACGCTAAACAAGCCTCCATTTTGAGAATTTCGATCCCTTTCAGAGTCGATGCAGGTAAAATAATTTATATGTTATGTGTTCATCTAATAGGTTGCAGGTGAATGCATTTGTTATGTTTAATCCATCCGTTATCGGGCAAGACATATATATGTATGCTTCTCAAAAGCAACCGGATGCAAAATGTCTATTATATAAAACAATAGATGATTCGATTCTTTTTCGATAGTGAACTGTAGAAAAAGAGGCTTGATATCTTCTTGCCATCTGAGATAACCTAAACAATTTTACTTCACCGAATTTTTGCTCCTCCTATTTTCTAAAGCGTAAAGTATTATATTAGCGAAGACATTGCCCTTTTTCTGGCAAAATACGAAAAGCATAAGCAAAGTGATAGGCTCAGAGTTACGCGAGAACAATTTACAAATAGCGCGTCAAATATCGAACTGTCAAAATAAAACAAAAGTGACAAACCATGCCAGTAACCCCAGACGGCATGGACGTTGCATGCGTGATCAAAAATCGGAAAGTCTTGGCTTTAGTACCTTAAATAAACCCAACCTCTCCCGCTGTTCTTCAGTTAGTTTCAAAAACCGACTTGTTGTTCTTTCTTGAGGCCAATCATTCGGGCCGTCGCCTCTAAATACGTAACATCCTAATATTCAGGAAGAAGCGATAAGAGAGAGGTATGGAGTAACCGTAATCCGGAAGATGTATGCAAAACGATTAGCATGTGTTATGCCTTTGTCGGCCAAGCACTCATCAAGGCTACGACCACATATTCGTAGAAATTCAATTACGTTGTAACGCACTCGCTATTGAACCCGGGTATGCCGATTTGACTGATAATCGGGCTTTTTAACTATTTCACTACGATTTCTTGACGACCATCACGTACCAATCGTAATTAATCGGGTTCAATTCCGCACTCGGAATTTCGAGTGCGGAATTGAACCCGGGCATGCTGACTTGATTGATAGTCGGGCCTCTTAACTTTAGCTTTACTACTACTTATTCAAAAAAAATGAGCATGACGCTTAAAATAACAACAAATGTATTCGCAATTTTCGCCACTAAAACTGCATTATATTTTATGATGAACAAGTATTTTCTAGAAACAGGTCGATAATTGTACATAGTTGGTGAAAAAAATGTCATAGGTGTACATGATGATAATAAAAAGATTCTTACGCCTCATAGTAGTGGTAAGACCTTGCGGGGATAACTTTTATCGATGATAGCATTCAAAAGCTTTCGAAACTTCTCATGTTCATATATAAGTGGATTTGCACCTTCGTTCGTATATCAAAAACCGCAAACAATCAAATCGAAATTAATTTATTAAAACGTCAAAATATAATTAAATTTGAATTGAAGCATTATAATTTGTATTAATGTCATTTGCAAATACAAAAAATCAAATGAATTAAATAACTACAACAAAACGCATTAAAAAACCAAAATATATATTTTTACTTCATTATATATGTGTACACATATATATATTTATGCACATATATATATATTAATCAACTAAAGACATACTTATTAACAATTAACCGATAATTGTCGAGCAAAAAAGCTGCAGCGAATAGCACACACATTGTGCACGTAACATATAACGCATAGCTACCAAAGCCATTAATATGTATAAATAGTAAAATAAAAGCAGAAAATATTTACAGATATAATGCATAGCGGTGAAGTGTTTTCCTTTTTATTTTTTTTTTTTTTTCTTTTCGTTTGCAATTTGACGTAATTGTGTATTCAGTGAGTGAAAATTAAATTAAAATTTATTTTAAAATTTATTAACAAACTATTTTTACAAATAAAACGCAAATAAAATAAAACGGATAACATCTACACGATAGTAGTTGAATTCATGTCATTACAAATCCTAAACGCGCTTATAAAACTGTTCACACATGCACTGTTTCACGGGGACATTGCCTCTCCTACACTGCTCGTTTTCTTCATTAGCTCTTGCTTGGCAATCTTTGCATTAAAAATATGGGCATTCTTGTTTACTGCATCGGTGTTGTCCAGACCTTGAAGAAAATCTCGTTTGCATTTGCAAACATCCAGAAATTTACGTTAAACAGCTCAGAAGGTGTCAAGTCGATTTATTTAAATCTCTCTTTCCCTTTCTCTCTCTCTCTCTCAGTAAAGAACAGTCGTTACAAAATCCGTTAAAATGCAAATGAATTTTATGGAGCCATTGAAGCCATGTGCTTATCTCGCAACTCACCGCAGCAACAAGATTGCTCTGATCGTTGAAAATAAATATTTTGATGATATTAGAGCTTGGTCTTAGGTTTGTCTTAAAAATGTCTTTTCGCTTTCAAGAAGAAGAAGAAGCTTTTTTGTCTCTCAATATTAATTCAGATCTTGCAATCTCTGCCGAATGCTTTGTTTCTATCCCAGCTGGTTTAACAACTCTGTGAAATACTTGCATGGAAACGAAGTGTATACAAACATTTGGATATGACCCTTCCGGGAAAATTTAAGTAGCAATTGGTTCGGTTGAACCACGTATGTGAGGCCTGAGGGGAGAACTCGTAGTAGTTGTGGTTATGACCGTACGCGTAGGCATTAAATAGTTAGAGATGCATGATAAGGGGGATAGGTTTGAACAATAACCAACCCTTCACATCTAATACTCTAGTCTTGGTATTCGTCATCTCGCTTGCAAATTGAGGAGTGCGGGAAATTACAGGTTAATTACCCGAAGGATCTGTGCACCTCGTCCGATTAAGCCGTCAAGTCATTTGCAGAGTTAGAGAATCTCTCCCCCGGCTGCTTTTGATCGAGTGGTGCGCATTTAGAGGAACATAGCAGTTATTACACTGCACCGCGTACCTGATTCAGTGATAAGACAGAAGCTTCTTTGAGTATGAAATGTAAGCGTGCTCTCCAGTTAATTGCTTTAATTCTCCGGTGACATAGCGACAAGACCGATTACACTCATAAAAAGATCTTTACACTAATATGAAAGATGCTTACAGTTAACGGATGTTAGAGCCTTTATAGCATAAGATTTGCTGAAGCTGACCGAATCCCAATGAAATTGATTCATACAGACTTCACCTTTGTTCTTGATCTTAATACCAATAAGAATACATTTCTCAGAAAATCTTCGCTGACAGTTTTTGCATATCCGATGTTATCTATATACGAATTAGTCTCTTAATCCCACTGGCAGAACTACCGCATTGGTATTAAAAATTTACTCACACGTTCGCGTGTACGTGGGTTTTGCATTTTAATCTTTCAAGTCCAGTTTTCTTCTTCTTCTTCGTTTTTTTTTTTTTGCAAAATATTTTAAAATCTTCTTATCAAAAGAAATCATGAATTTTCAAAAGTGTAATTAAATGAAATTTCAATTTATAAATATTGCATTTAAATGCTCAAAAAAAAAAAAAAGCAGGGGAAATAAATGCAATGGGTTGGTGAGCATAATCACATTAATTTGATTAAAGTAAAATATTATAAATGCGTGCATATATTTATATATATATATAAACAAATGAAATAAATGTATGGAGTTTTCTTGCTGAACTTCGAAAGCTTAAATGAACATAATTTATATGGAACGATACGATATTGTTAACGCATCGACATATTTTTATTTATGTCAGGACAACGTACCGTTTTGTGTTTATATGTAAATCTTGCAATGCATGTGTGCGTGTATGCATGTGTAAATACCGGCATACATTGTCGGTTGATCAGCGTGTGTTAATGTGTGTGTTTACACATTAATATGCTAATGTATGCATGAATAAGTCTTACCGTTACTGTAATTACATGGATTAACAAGGATTTATATAAGCTGAGCATTGCAAAAAAAAAAAAAAATTATTGAATTTAATAAAATAAATTTCTTCTCACTTTTTGCGCGCTTTGCTACCCCATATTTAAACGTTTGTACAAATTTAATCATATTAGAGGAATGAAATAGATAGCTGGCTATGATAATGCAGAATCCAACACAATTTAAATTCTACATCGGGTAGTAGCTGGTTCCGTAATTAACAAAATAGCTCCACGACTACTTAGTTAGTTAGTTAGTCAGCTTATGTTCGAATTCTTTTGAACTTCGGGTTTCTGTATTTGCAGTAACTCGATACGCAATCCAATGTCCTCGTACGTATCCTCGTGTGTGTATTCCAATTTTCTTTCTATATTTGTGTAAATCAATAATTGCCCATTATTCTGAGCTATATTACTTACGTAAATATGAAACCGGAATTCGGTCACGCAGGGCCTTAGCATCACATATAGACGACATCCATATCTGGAGTTCTCTTTTTTTGACAGCATGAACAAGCCGTCGTAATACGAACTGATATCGCAGCCCAAGTATGTTTTCTCGAGTTTTGTGGTAAGGAAAAAGAGCATTTGCCGACAGTATTTTGTCTCTGCCCGCACGATGCAGACGAAGGTTGTTTTTGCCTCATATCGTAACTGAGGATCTCGACCTAGTAG